GGCAAAAGAGGGACCAGAAGCAACATCCACGTCCACATCATCATCACCGAACGAACACCCTCTCACGCACACAGACACACTCTACGCACACAGGGGCGACAAGCAGTTCGTTCACTTGCCGGGAAGTCTTCCTTCTGACTCCGCCGACTGCCGATTTCCAAGAGCCAGCCGTCTGCCGCAATTCCTGCGCGGCCAACCGTGGCACAGTGGTCTAATGTATGGGCTTACAAATGGAATTTAATATTTTTATTAGAAGGTAGTACTTCCTTTGGTCCTTTTCAGGAACAAATTTTAGCGTAATACTAGTCGTATACGTAATATTATGATACTTATGTTAATTATAGAAAGTGGAGATAGTATCTATGCTTTTATTTTTGTATAAAACTTAAGAACTGTGAAAAGTAGTTGGGATACCACTGTGCTCGTGTCACCCCTGGAGTATTTTGCAAACATCGTCCCCCACCCCCCTAATTGTCTGCTCGTCTGGATGCTATTGCTCACGTTCTCGTTCTCTCAGGTGCATACGCTACGCTCCAGCAAAGCAGCCTTTTTGGTCCTATTTAGTACCCTACTTTTCAGAAGAAGTAATTGAATATTTAAAAATATAAAGATATAAGGCTTTTAAAGTCTATAAAGCTATATTTTATGTTTCAATGATATATTTTTAAAAGAATATAAAAATGGAAAACAACTATGGAAACAACTTTTTATAAAAGTAGTTATAAGGATAAGCTGATTTATAAGAAGTCTATAGACTTCAAAGTAATATATAGTATCTTAAACATTAAGCCCCAATCTAAAAAAATAAAATCATCCAAATTTCGGGGAATTACTTTTTCAAAAAGCTGTCGAACCTTCTCCGCTTCACCGATTGGGCCCAGAATGCCGCAACAGACGGGGCAATTTCATTAGCCTGGCCCGAACTTACATAAGGCCGAAACAGGAGCGGCAGGAAGATGATGTCTCAACAGCCATGGCGATGACTTTTACTGTCGGTATATGCAAACACACACACTTAGAGTCCTATATATCCTTTTTTGGATGTGTGTGCGTGGGCGTCGTCTGCCACCGTTGTTCGGTGAAAGGGAAAGGTTATTAGACTCGTCCCGTGCAGAGCCATCGAGTGGTAGGGGCCCAGACACTGACTGCTCCTTATTGTTATAATAACCTTTCGGTTTTCTGTTTTCACTGTCGTCGTCGTCGACGGAAGTGGGAGGTGGCCAGCAGCAGGTGTCGGGGCGGGGCAGTGCAATGACAGCGGTCGGCGTCGGTCCTTAGTCCTTGTTTCTCGGGCAACGCCATTACGAAAGGCTCTTCTCCGGATTCAATGGCCGACGAACTCTCGGCCCAGTCACAGGCTCATGATTTTGTGCTTCCAACTTTTTGGGGTTTTTCGGGCATTGACTCGACCTCTAGGCGTCGGCGGCAATTGGCACGGCCTTAGTTGAATGCACGCGGCAGCAGCACGCGGCGAGGTCACAGGACATGGGCTCTCGGTCAAAGTCACATGGCCACTTGACCCCAGATCCGTAATCGCGTTTAAGTACTGGATGAGGGTGATTGATTCGCGAGGATTTCACAAAAATAGAATTTCGAAGGAGGCCCGGCCCGGGTGAAAGGTTCCTTGGGGTCACCATGTGAACCTTACTAATGAAAATGATGTTAGTAGCTAGTTAAGATACTACTTTAAACCAAAATGATTATAGGTTATAGGTTAGTTGTTTTTTAACGATTGTGGAAACCTCATACTCGTCTGAGTTTTCCAGAAAAGTTTCTCTTCTCTATTGCACTCGAAGTTTCCCTTGGCCAAAATGCAAAATATTTCGCTGAGAGAAAATGGCAAAAGAAAATTCGCCAAAGATTTTATGAGGTTAAGACTCATTACAGTTGTGGCAGAGTGGCTGTTGCATATTGTTGTACAATGAACACGTTAGCCCCAATTCGGGCGAGTGGGAAAAAGAAAAGCTGCTGCAGCGGCCCATGACAGTTGCAGTTGCAACTTTCTAATGCGGCAACAGCGACTCAAAACGGATGTGGATCGCAGCAACTTGGAGCTGCATTATGTGTGCCAAAATGCAACACCAACAACAAGATGCAACATGGCACTGAAATAAACAATTAGTAACTTTTAAAATTAAAACCAAGAACTAATAAGTTAAGTTTAAAGATAAAGTAGTTTGTAAAATATACACTCAAAAATTAATTTATTTAATTAAAATCTTAATAATTTTTTTTAAAGTGCATCCGTTGCAAGAAAAACGAATTTCACCCTGCTGCTTTCCACTGCAAATTACTTAACTATTTTCCCAGTTTCGCTTTGTCGTGCAATTTACCAACAGTTGTTGCATGTTGTTGCATATTAGCCGGACCATGCCCACGAGGGGCGGCTGCAACACCACTACGCCAACAGAAACAACAAACATTGGCGGCAGTGAAAAGTTGGTCATGACAATCAAATGGCAGGCACTGAGCCGCATTCGAGGGGAGAGCTTGTGGCAGCTTGTGTATTGGTGTGTATCTGCATGCGCCCACTGATGCATTCCGCCTGCAGCAACTGCAATTGAGGTTGGCATAGGGTTTCCTTTCCTCTTAATCCCCGACTCCCCCGGGGAGTGGCGACGAAGAACTCCACTTAGTCACAGGAGTGACTAACCGTCTGGCGCGACCCTAAATTCCCAAAGTGAGTCAGGTCGGTGGCTGGTGCAGTCCTCTGACCGCAAACGTGGGTTCTTAACGTTCCTTTGGGTAATTCTACCAATGGCATCCAAATTAGTAACTGGTTTTTAATGAGGGGAATGTAATATTTTATAATTGTTGCCATAAGATGGGGAGCTTCTTTAAGAAAAAGTATGAAGGGTGCTCCTTGTAAGAGTACGCATATTATTGGACATACATACATATTATACCATTTCATAGCTATCTTAAAAAAGATCTTGATACTATATTTTCATATTGAGCCTTTGTTTTTTGTACCTACAGGTCTTGAACTATGAAGTGATTTTAATCAGTTTAAACTTTAAAGTTAAAAAATTTTAAATCTAGTTAAAAAAAGTAAAAAAAATAACCTCTGAAATACATACATATATGTATTACCCCCAAACTATTCTTAGCTATTCTAACTACATTGCTTTACCTATAGCCTTAACTATAATTAACTATTCAATACTATAGTACCGTAAAAAGCTCACAAAAAATGGACTATAGGCATGATAAAATTTAATTTTAAAAGAATTCTTTGATAAATATAAATAATATTGAAAAAATAATACATGTTAAAATAATATATATTTAATATATAAACAAATAAATACCTTTTGCAAAAATAGTTAGAACTAATAATAGAACTAATTCAAATTCTCTGGTACTTCAACCTCCTTATATACAAAATGTATACTATCTAATGGATACCATCTATGTTATAGATACTTTATATATAGATAGTGTAAACTTATAAACTATAAATTATTTTTTATAATATAAAATTTATATTGATCAATCTGAATCAAACCAATATATTTTACTGAAATGACTTATAAAGATTAAGTTATAATACCTATATTTTGCATTAAAAATAAAAAAAATAAATACAATAGCTAACAAAAATCTTATTGTTTATAATCCTTGCACACAACTGTAATCATAACCATCTTAACACCCCCATAAAAATATATCATCTCTTTTCAAACCCCATTGAGCCAGTATAAGAGCCAGTGAATATAATCCGCCAACACCTGCCTTCGGACCAAGTTAATTGCAGGTAAGTAGAGACATATGCCATCCCACTACTTAGCCGGGATTAAGACTTTCCTTTGGGTGAGACCGCTGTACCGTTAGCCCCTAATTAGAAACCAGTTAACTGTCGCACCCGAGCGGCATTAAGCTGATCTATTAACTTTTTTTTCACTCTGTGGCCATTTCTATTTATTTTTGAGCCGACGAATGTTTGTTTTGTGGGTCCACTCCACTCCAGGCCAGTCTCCAGTTTTGTTGGGTGATTGGGGATTGAAATTGAGAGATCGAGATCTCGCCCGGTGCCCCAGTGATCTAATAAATGCCGCATTGTCATTCGCTCCGCTTGGCATGGCTCTAACACAGCAACAGCAACAACAACAATAACAAACATCTCCATTTGTCACTCTGTGCCCCAAAAGCTCTAAACTGGGACACCATTCATTAATTTATCGCATGCAAAGCAATCCGCAAATATCGAATGGGTTTGAATGTTTGTCGGTCGATGTTGCACTCCAGCTGCAGTCGACACAGAAAAAATAGAAAGTTTTTCGCCAATTGCAGCAGTTCCCCGACAATACCCAATACCCAACCAACTGCCTGCTGCAATTTTCTCTTTGCAATTTGATTAAATAAAATATTGTGTAAAGGCTTTGCCTCACTGCCTCACTCACTGCAGCAGCAGCAGCAACAGCAGCGTCAGTGCAACTTTCCAACTGCAGTTTTCGTGGCACGACTTCTAAGTCGGTTACTAGATGCAATAATAATTGCATTTGTCCCACTTTACTTTCACTTGGCGAACGACTACAACGACAACGTCGACTACGAGTTGCAAATCCAAGACCAACCAGCAACAAGCAACAAGCAACAAAAAGTGGCAGCGCAGGCGTCGACTTTGACTTTGAGTGTGCCTGTTGCGCTTGCTGCATGCAGCAGCTTTTCCATTCCTCTCTACTTCTCTACTGAGTGTGTGTGTGTGTGTTGGTTGCATGAAAAGTTGCAACTTTTTCCAGTCGCTTGATGGAAATTGTTTGCCGTTTGGCTGACTGCCTGCCTGCCTGGGCTGGTTGGTTGGTTGGCAAAAAGGAAAAGTGGGTCAAGCGCAGCATTGTTGTTGCACGTTGGTGGTGATGCTGCCGCTGTTACTTGTTGCATGCCTCCACTTAATTGACAATTGGCCGCAACACTATAATATGTGTGCTGGCATTTGATTTATGAAACTGGGTTACACGCCGGCTTTCCTTTTCTCTGTCCCATTTGGCATGATCATGTTGTGTTAACATTTCGTCAATTTATTTACTATCATTTTAAGAATTATATATATATATTATTCAATAGTACAGAAGATCGAATGTTTCAATCTTAAATTATACGTACGATACGTTTCTTTAATTTTTTACACATTGCCTTTAATTTTGTGTTTTTGCTTTTGTTTTCTGTACATAAAAAATTACACTTTAGATGCAAGTTTGGTTTTCCTTTTTTTTTTTATACAAACTCATTTTCAGAAACATCCTTCGTGGAGTCTGTGCCTAGTATTTACAAAGAAGTTAAAATTCCTCAGCTTTCCAGGTTCTCGATTTCCTTTTCTTTTTGGCATTGAAACAATAAATACAATAAGAGGGTTTAAATATTTAAAATAGGCAAATTTTGTAGCGCCTAACTTAGGGATAAATAGTATAAGGGCCAAGAGGCAAAAAGGACATTCGCCCCGGCTTTGTTTTTCATGGATATTTTGTACAAATAACAGCCCACAGGGGGGAGGGGGACGTTTAAACAAACTAAATGGTGACTTGGTCAGGAGCGCACTAGCTTCGGTAGAAACTAGATGGTACAAATAGGATAAGGAAGAAATAGGCGTATAGATTGGTTATCGTCGATGCAGGATGTTGGAGAGCGTGCGTATCTGCTTCTGCAGTTCGGAGTCCATGCGGTAAGCCTCCTCCTCGAAGACACTACGCATGTCCTGCAGCTGGGGCAGCTTGTCGGGCTGCATGTTGAGCAGGTCGCCGAAGAACTTATTCCATACGTGCTTCTTGAGGTAGCGCGGTAGCTTTTGCCGTATCTCCCAGGAGGAGCCGCGCTTCAGCGGCTGCATGTAGTCGCCGAATAGCATCACGTGCACCGTGGCCGCAATGCAAAACAGATCCGTTTCGTAGGACCAGCTGCGACCCTCCTGCATCTCGATGCAGGTGAAGCCATCGGTTTGTATCACTTTACGGAACTTGGTGCGCTCGGCATCGGGAAACAGCGACATGTCGATGGCGCATCCAAAGTCGATCAACCGGAGCGACGGCAGGGGACTGTTCACATCGGGGACTTTCATCAGGAGGAAGTTGTCCGGCTTGATGTCGGCATGGATGATCTTCTGGCGATGCAGGTGGTCCACGATGTTGCAGATTTGCGCCGAAAAGTGCATCACCAGCGACTCGTGCATCACTTTGGTTGTGGCCTGACGGATCTTGTTGTTGATGTCCAGCAGAGACCCGAACCGAGAGAACTCGGTGGCTATCAAGCTGGCATTTGGAGCGATGATCGCTGTGGAAATGTCCATTAGTCCGGGTAGGACGTCGGGCTCCTTGATGCGTTTCAGCACCTGAAAGAAACAAGGCTTTGGAATACATATTCCATAAAAAAATATATGTCTTTCTCACCTGATCACAAATGTATATCTCCCAGGTATTTGGGGGCTTCTGGTACTTGAGGGCCACCACATTGCCAGTCCGCGAATCAGTGGCCTTGTAAACCGATCCATATGAACCACGACCCACCTCCTTGTCGATGCTGAAGGTTACGCCCTCGAGAACGTTCAGTGGACGGTTATTGGAAATTTTTGGTAGGGCCGTTTGCACAATTTTATAGCTAGCGTGGTCGTCCTGGTCGCCTGGGAAGTCCACCTTGGTCAGGAAGGCGCGACAGAGTTCACTGTTGAACGGATCGATGGCCTCCTTGGCCAGGTGACGGGAAATGGTTTCTAGGGCTTTCGATAGTCGCCTCTCCTGAGCCTCCGTATCGTGTTGGGTGGCAAAGTACGAGTTCTCCTGGAATGTGGAGAAATCCGCTAGGGTACTGTTCCCGTTGTTGTTGTTGCTGGTGCTATTGTTGTTGTTGTGCGTTTGGAGGGTTTTGTTGATGGGATTTTGTGAGGAATCGCGGAAGTTAAGTCGATCGACAGCCAAGGCCAGGGAGCTGTTGGAATTGTCCAGAGCACTGGCACTGGAGAACGAAAAGTTGGCGTTGTCGTTGAAGCTGGCTCCGGGAGCAGCTGCAGACGTGTTTGTAGCGCTGGCAGTGACCACATCAGTGGCCGAGGAAGCGGAATTACTGTTGCTGCACAGGTCCGGATGGAAGGAGCTGTGCTTGACTTTGGTGCGGGCCCTGCGATAGCCATTGGCCTCACTCTTGGGCGTGGAAGTCTGGCCACCCAGCATATACGGGTGGAAGTGATGGTGACTACCGTTGCGATGCCTCTGGACGGGAATGGGTGAAATGGGCGCCGGCTCCGGCGGAGGTTGACTGTGGTTTATCTGCTGATTCAGATGTGGGTGCTCCTTCGTCTGTTCCTGCTGCTGCTGATGCTGCTGTTGCTGGTAGACGTTTTCTATGGTATAGGCACTGTAGCTGTTGCTGGGCTCCTTCTTGAACTTGATCTTTATGGAGCGGTTCTCCTGCTCGAAGGTCGTTTGGGCGCTAAACTGCACCCCATTGGTGTAAGGTTCGCTAGGCTCTTCTTCTTCCTCCTCCTCCTCTTCTTCGTCCTCCTCTTCGGACTCCTCGTCCTCCTCCCCTTCCTCATTAGCCTCATCCTCGCCTTCGTTTTCCTCGTCCTCCTCGCCAGCATTTTCCTGACCGCTATTGTTCTTGTGTCCGTACAGAGCCCCATCAACAGCAGTCATGTAGTACGACGGCTCGGATTCGTAGGAATCGTACAGGGTTTGCTGTGCTTCCTGTTGCCGCTGTTCCGCCATCTCGGCCTTCTGCTCCATCACCTGTTTGTATTTGCGCGCCAGTATTTCCTCGGGACTGTACTCTATTCCAGCTCCTGGAGGATACACCAGATTCTTCGCGTAGCGACACACTCGCGTTGGGTCGTCCGGCTCCTCAAGCGTCAGAGCCGGCTTCCAGGTTTCATGGTTGTTGCGACCGTAGGCGTAAAAATTGCGCGGCAAACGCAACCCAGCTATGTCGCTAGTCTTGGGCGGAGTTTGTTCAGGGGGCTCTGGGTTCAGATTACCGTTTCCATTTCTGACGACTTCATGCTGTGGCTGTGAATGCTGATGCGTCTGGGCTTGCGGCGAATTCTGTTGAGATGGTGGCTGGTACGGTTGGTGTTGCTGTTGTTGCTGTTGGTTTGGTGCGTAGTGGGGCTGAAAAATTACACAGAATTAGAAATGTTTTTGTTTACACTTGATGGTAATACTTACCTCCGCCACGGGCGCATATTGCGGATGAGCTGGCTGTTGTTGCTGCACATGTGCCGGGGCTGGCGCTGGCTGGGGATGCTGTTCAAAGCGTGCTTGTTGCTGGTAATGCGCCTGGTAGGCCAACTGTTGTTCTTGAGGCTGATGCTGGAGCTGCGGAGCTGGATGTTGAGGCTGGACAGCTGGATGTTGAGGCTGGACAGCTGGATGTTGAGGCTGGACAGCTGGATGCTGATGTTGTGGCGCTGCATGCTGCTGTGGTACCGCTGGATGCGGTTGGGGTGCCGCTGACTGCAACTGTGGTGCCGCAGGATGCGATTGTGGTGCCGTGGGATGCTGTTGAGGTGCCGCTGGATGCACTTGCTGTGGCGATGGATGTTGCTGCTGGGGTACTGGGTGCTGCTGCTGCTGGGGATGATATTGCTGGTAGATATGCTGCTGATATGGCTGGGAGCGAGGTTGGGCATAACCCTGAGGCATCTGATGCTGTGTGTAGTTAGCTAGCTGCTGCAGAGGATCAGGCTGTTGTGCTTGCTGCTGCTGTAGTTGCTGCTGCTGCTGTTGGCGTTGATAGTAAAGGGATCTTGCATATGTAAACTTGCTGTGGGCATGCTGCAGCTCAGCGGTGGTCTCCGCCTTCTCCTGGAAGGCCAGATTGTAGACAGCCTCTGCGTCCTTAAACTCCTCGCGGGACTCGTAATAGGTAGCCCAGCCAATATAGAAGGCAGCCACTGTGCGTCCAGTTCCGCGTTGATACAGAACCTGGTAGAAGTGCAACGGATCCGTCTGCATGGCTATGTACTTAAGCCAGAGACGCACCAGACGTATATCCTGGCGGTAGTACTCGTTGTGCTCATACTCCGTGAGACATCGCTCCAGAGTTTCGCGATACTTCACCTGGGGATCGCTGTGCTCATGGTTCTCGTACCAGCATATGTAATTGTACCAGTGGTCCAGTGGGTCTGGACCCTGGTACATGGATATGGCGTGCTCCCATGCCTGCTTATCCTTGAGGAATCCGTTCATCTCGTCCGGTGGGGTAGCACCCGCGGGTCCTCCCCCCTCAGTGCCTGATCCTTGGCGCATGTAAGAGTGCATGGCCATCTAAGCCGGCGGGGGAATCCCCAGATCCGTTCTCGCGGAACTAGGGAAGGTTCCTCCGGCTGTGGCTGCTGATTTTCTGCTCCTGCTAGTTCTCGGATATCGGATACCTCTAGCTCTTCCGCAGGGCAGAACTTCCGCAAGAATGTCCTCGTTCAGTTAGTCCCTCCAAATGATCTGGCTACCTTGCAACATTTCGCGTTAGGAATTCGCCTGGCCTATTGCAATCTGATGTATTTTCAATGTAATTTTTATTTAGCTTGCAAATGGAATTTTACTAAGGTTGCCAGATTGGTTGTCAAGTCCACATCAGTGTTGAAAACGCGTAGGATGTACATGTGGCCGTGTTGGAAATCGCGGCGTGGCCAGTGCTGCATAACGGTATGTAATCACTGTTCTAACTGCCCATCAGGCGGCGCCACTGTGCTCTGTATTACTGCATTATTGTTTTTTTTTTATCAAGTCGCAAGAAATTACGCTATCCCCCAATAACCGCGTATTCCGAGTGTTTATGTTTCGTCCCCAAGTGCATATCGTAGTTGTATAGTCTAAGTCGCTCCCGCACCCACGTCCTCCGACTGCCGAACACGCGTTTTCCGCCGCCCCCGCACTCTGTTCCCGTTTATTTGTTTTCGACCCCTGGCCGCGTCTTCTTGGATTTCCCCCAAAAAAGGTGCAGCCCCGAGACAGCAAGAGAAAAGTGAAACGCCATCGGCGCAATTATCGATTTGAACCCGTGCGGCCATAGTCCTGCCTCCGGCTGCAAACTGAGGCCCCCGGGATAATGGAAGTCTCCTCCGATCCGTACGAGCAGAAGCTGTACCAGATGTTCCGCAGCTGCGAATCGCAGTGCGGCCTGCTCGACGAGACCTCCCTCCTGAAGCTCTGCTCGCTGCTGGAGCTCCGGGATCAGGGGGCCGCTCTCATCGCCAGTCTGGGCAGCAGCCACCAGCTGGGCGTGTCCTTTGCCCAGTTCAAGGAGGCGCTGCTGAACTTTCTCGGCTCGGAGTTTGATGGTGGTGCGACCCCCTCGGGGTTCAAGGGTAAGGATTGCCAATTGGGTGAGTTAGCTTGGTATGGTGTTTCTTTTATAGACATGGCAGTTGGGGTTTATGGAGATTCAGGGAACAAAGAGTTTCAGTACTTGTTCTTGTTACTTATTGATGTCCAATCTGTGGGCTGTGGGTAAGGGTTTATGCTCTTCATAAAGATGATCAAGAAAACCCTATTATCCAGCTTTTGATAATTATTTTATTCTGATTGCAGTGGATTCGTTATAGATTCTATAATATATAGACCAGTTTCGGATTATACCGGTTCCGTATATTCCACGCCCCCTCCTTAAGCTTCGAATGATATAGAAACGATGGGTGTAATGTCCAAGTAACAAAAAATAATCAAGGAGTATATTATACTTTAGATCAGTATGGATCTATTTATTACATCATATAGTATCATGTCTTAAAATGTCATACCCTTAAACACAGGATGTACTACCAATATAAGTAAATATACATAAAGCCCCCAATAAACCTGTGATCGATATCCCCTCCCAAGACACAGAAGCACTCTTCCATCTTTGGAAACTTCCAGGCAGACTGAGAATATCCTTTTCAGGGATATCCTTATCAGCTAGCTGGCAGATTAGCGCCTCGGCAGCTGCCGGTTGTAAAAGTCTAGATGCAATTGCAAATTTTTTTACGACTCCCAACTGCTTTTGCCTACCTGATCCGCGGCCGCGTCCCGGTTGTCCCAGGTGGCGGTTATCAGGTAGCGCCCGGTCCTGCATAAATACTGAACCCATTCAGCTCCGAGGCTCAGTCTCTATTGAAATGGGAACGCGCTTGTATTACCGTAAGGCGGATCGCCTCTTTACCGATCCACTCATCGAAAAGTTGTCAGCTCGCTTCGGTACTCCACTCAGAATCCTCGCCGGATGCTTTAGCTCGCTACTAATTCTGTTCTTTAATCTTGCAGAGCGTTCGCTGGTGATCACGGATGAGCCACTGACCACCACCTACATCGAAAGTCCGCCCGAATCGTCCGACCGTGAAGTGTCCCCCAAGCTGATTGTGGGCACCAAGAAGTACGGACGCCGCTCCAGGCCGCATCAGGGTGTCTATGAGCTGTCCGTCACGGATTCGGATAACACGGATGAGGACCAGCACCAGAAGCAGCGGAGTCTCAATGGCAGTGATGAGGTGGGAACACAGGTGGGTGCTGGCGATGAAGTCACGTACGAAACAAAGATAATCGTGCAGCTTTGTACAAAAAAAAGAGATATTTTTAATAAAAAAATGTATAATTCCATCTGGGAAACAGGTGCAACGCTCTTCCTCGCAGACCGATCTTCCTGGCAGCCGGCGGCTTCGGACACTGCACACAAGTGGCAGCAAGCTGAAGCGCTGCGCCTCCCTGCCGGCACGGCGGAACCTTCAGTCCAAGATGCACCACACGGCTACGGGAGCGGCGCCATCGCCGACGGCCACCGCCAAGCTGAAACAGTTGTCGATCCAGAGCCAGAACCAGCACAGCAGCAGCGTGGAGTCGCTGGGTAAGTTATCGGAAGACCCTATTCCCCATCCCAGACCCGACAGACCATCCTCCCTAGCCCCCGATTATGCCCAGCCACTATTGTTGTTAGCTCAATATGCAAAAGATTTAAGAAATTTAAACTGAAAAGTAAGCAAAAAACACTCGTTTGGTAACCACCACCAGCAGGCCACCACCTGGCCGCCACCTCCGCACCGTCGTCCGAGCACCGGAGAGGCTACCACGGCGGCAGTTGGCTCTGTTTCAAAGGTTTGTGCGCTCCCCGAGCATTCTCAAAGCTATCCAAAACTCCCACCCGCTCCAATCATTTGGTATCTAATCGCACCCTATGTAGTCGCACTGTTGAATCGTTGTATACTCACATTCCCCGGACATCCTTCCAATATCCTTGATCCAGATCAGGCGCTGTTGGAGCTTCTACAATGCTGTATACATGTTATATATCCAATGAATAATTTAGACAAGCTGCAAGTAATCGGCGCATTAAACCATCAGCTATCCACACCCAGCTCCACTCCCCAGTCCCCCAACCACATGGTATCTTGGGCTATATGAATGTGTATATATATCTGCTTGTAGAGTGGTAGTTGTTCCGCACTAACTGTCTATTCCGATGCCTTGCAGACACCGTGACGCCGCAGCAGCTGGAGATGGTCAGTGTGCACAGCATCACCGAGGCCTGGGAGCTGGCCAGCATCGTGAATGGCCGCAACCTGCTCCATGTCCTCGGCTTTGACGAGGAGGAGGAGGTCAACCTGCAGCTCCTGTCCAAGGCGCTGGAGGAGGAAATAAGGGGGGTCGACCACGACCAGGAGCAGGCGAACTTGCTGCGAGCCTTGGCCGCCCTCCAGGCCACCGAGCTGGGCAACTACCGACTGGCCTATCGCCAGCAGCACGAGGAGAACCTGAAGCTGAGGGCCGACAACAAGGCGGCGAACCAGCGGGTGGCTCTCCTGGCCGTGGAAGTGGACGAGCGACACGCCTCCTTGGAGGAGGGCTCCAAGCAGCAGATCCAGCAGCTGGAACAGCGCCACGCCAGCATGGTGAGGGAACTGACGCTGCGCATGAGCAACGACCGAGACCATTGGACCAGCATGACGGCAAAGCTGGAGGCGCAGCTCAAGTCCCTCGAGCAGGAGGAGATCCGCCTGAAGACGGAACTCGAACTGGTGCGCAATGAGAACTCGGAGCTGGAAACGGAGCAGCAGAAGGCTCACGTCCAGCTCACCGAACTGCTCGAGCAGAATATTAAGCTCAACCAGGAACTGGCCAACCGTCCCAGCAGTGGCAGCCTCAGCCACGGCTCACTGAGTCCTCGGAAGCAGAGCAGCAACGAGGACAGGGAGGAGGAGATGCTGCAGATGATGGAGAAGTTGGCCGCGCTCCAAATGGAGAACGCCCAGCTGCGCGACAAGACTGACGAACTGACCATCGAAATAGAGAGCCTGAATGTGGAGCTGACCCGCTCGAAGGGCAAGGGTAAGAAGCAGGATAAGCCAGAGAAGCTGGAGGACCAAGAGGCGGCTGCCACGGCCACCAAAAGGCGCGGCGATTCGCCGAGCAAGACCCATCTCACGGAGGAGAGTCCGCGGATGGGCAAGCAGCGCAAGTGCACCGAAGGCGAGCAGAGCGATGCGAGCAACAGCGGCGATTGGTTGGCTCTGAACTCCGAGCTGAAGCGAAGCCAGAGCCAGGACGAGGAGCTGACCAGCCTAAGGCAACGGGTGGCTGATTTGGAAAAAGAACTGAAGGAAGCCAAGGAGGGAAGGTCCCTCAGTCCCGAGAGCCGGTCGAAAGACCTGGAAGCCAGCTTGGAGCAGATGCAGCGAGCCTACGAGGACTGCGAGGACTACTGGCAGTCGAAGCTCAGCGACGAGCGCCAGATGTTCGAGAAGGAGCGCCAGATCTACGAGGACGAGCAGCAGGAGAGCGACAAGAAGTTCACCGAGCTGATGGAGAAGGTGCGCGAGTACGAGGAGCAGTTCAGCAAGGATGGCCGGCTCTCGCCCATCGACGAGCGCGATATGCTGGAGCAGCAGTACGTGGAGCTGGAGGCTGAAGCCGCCCAGCTGCGCTCCAACTCCATGCGAATGCTCGAGGAGAAGGCGCAGGAGATCGGCTCACTGCAATCGGAAATCGAGGATCTGCGGCAGCGGTTGGGCGAGAGTGTGGAGATTCTCACGGGCGCCTGTGAACTCACGCCAGAAGCCGTGGCTCAGATGAGCGCCGAGGCGGGAAAAAGTCCGGCCAGCTCGCCCATCAGCTACCTCTGGCTGCAGAGCACCATCCAGGAGCCTGTGAAGTCCTTTGTGGCAGGCAGCGGCGATGACCCGGATGGCGCGGCCAGTGCCATCAATCTCCTGGGCGGCTCTCCATCGCACAAGGCAACCAGCCGGTGAGTATGCGAAGCCTCTATGTGTGTCCTTGGTGTGTGCATCACTGAATGTCCTGTACATTGTTTTTGTTTGTAACTCTCACCTCATTTCTAACTTAGTTTGTACTATGTTTAGTTTATAAGTTCATGTACATGTGTCCTGTCTGATAAGTATTTTTAAAAAATAATATTTTTAGGAAAAAAAAATAAAAATAAACATTTTTTTCAAAATTTTATTTTATTATTTGATGCACGATTTTAGACATTATTTTTGCTCACAACTCCCCTTCCTAGAAATCGGGATGAATTCATGTTTTTATTAGGTTTTCATTATTTTCATTTCATCCTTGTATGATATTGTATATATCCTGTTCTTATCCCAAAAACGATGCCTCCGTTAATCCTTAATCTGCCTTGTTTGAACAGAAACAACCTCACCACCTCGGAGACCTCCATCTTTAGCACCACCCCCTTCGACAGCTCACCCTCTGGCCCATCTCCTACCAACAGTGGCACCACCAACGTCTCCTCTTCCGCTAATCCTGGATCATCCGGTCCGGCTCCCATCAGCAAACCCAAAAGGGCCCAGAGTCCACAGCAGGTGCAATCGGAGGGCGAGATCGCAGACTGCGAGACCTCGTCAACGGCCTCCAACAAGAGCTTCGACACCCACAGCGTGGTGTCCACCAGTAAAACTTCTTGCCTTAGCCACGAAAAGTGCAGCAGTCCCTCTGTCCTCAAGGAAGAGCTCAAGCGGCTCAAGTTCTTCGAGCTGTCCCTCAAGGAGCAGATCAAGGACCTGAGCCTGCAACGCGACGGTTTGGTCATGGAACTGCAGCAGTTGCAGGAGGCACGACCTGTCTTAGAGAAGGCCTATGCGGTGAGTTAAAAGGGATATCTCAGATATTTTAAATACTAATTATTATCCTGCATTACGATATAGCGAACCACGCATCCAACGCTTCAGCAGCGACTGAACCAACTGGAGCTGCGAAATCGCCATCTGCAGAATGTCATCAAGCAGCAGCAGCAGTACACCGAGTCCCTGATGCAGCGTAGGTTTCTCCAAACTCATCATAGACTTCCCTAATAACCCGAACCATCTTCCAGAATCCTGGCGGCAGCATCAAGTGGATCTCAATGAACTACACGGCCGAATCGAAGCCCAGAGTGTTATGCTGGCGGAGCAGACACAGCGCCTGCAGAGCGCCGATATCCTGGTGAAGGACCTGTACGTGGAGAACTCGCATCTGACGGCCACGGTGCAGCGACTGGAACAGCAGCGGGCGAGGGTGAACCTGATCCACCAGCAGCAGCAGGTGCAGCAGGTTCAACAGCAGCAACAACGCCTGGGCCTACCAGGCATGCCTTAATACAAAACTAACCATAGAAACTAAATGATAACCTGAGGAGGGGTGCTCAGCATCGTCAGACATCGAAAATCAACACACGCAACCGATATCGTTATGAATGTTAGACATATTTACAAAACACACACTCGGTAGTCTAAGCTTGTCTTCGTGAATGAATGTGAATCAATGTTGTTTGGCACGAGAGCACCACATCGCATCGCATAACTAAAGTGACTTTGAAACTTAACTTTAACTTAAACCTTAACTCACCCACGCGCAAAGATGAACAATCCACACTAGTGTACCAATTTGAAAGACACTGACTAGTAATCGATTAGCTGATTCGAGCGATGAAACTACTATATATTTACACTATCTATCGTTCGTGCATACTCGTTTGAACATATATACGTATGAGAAAGAGTCCCAATAGGTGTATCGTATATATGTCGCAATGCAATGTTGACCTTACTACAATAATTCACCACTGAAATAGTTAACGTATATTAATTATATTAGATCAAGACAGTATTTTAAATTTGTTATGCGTCTGAGTAGGCGAGCACGTTTATCAATGTTTACCCACGTGCCCGGAAATCAAATGCATCGGAATTGTTGTTAATTTTATTGGTAGAAACAAAAAAAAAATTAAGGAAAAATTTGAAAAAAAAAAAAAACAATTGAAACGATCTATGATATTGACATATATTATGTAACGACAAAAGACCTGTAAAGCTGTAATCATACACTCGTATCTATGTATTTATACTGCGATTTAAGTTAGCCAATACTCCTCAATTGCTTTTGCAAACTCTACCTTTTTGTTAAACCTTTTTCCCGCCCGACTAACTTGCTCCCAATTTATACAATTTAATGAACAAATCTATTAGTTATTTAACACTCGGTTCGCATTACAGTGTGATCATCTGTGCTTAATCAATACCTTCGATCAAAATAGAAACTTACTTTTTAAAAGTATAAAGAAAATCATTTAAAAAAAAACCAAATATACATTTATTTAAAAAAAAACTCAATAAAAATTTATATTGCCTTTTGAATATCGGATTTTTTGTTTTATTATTAATTCTTCATTAAGTATACATTTTTGGAGTCAAATAGCCTATTTTTTCGCAGATTGCTAAATAAATTTATGAAATGAAAAAACAAAACAAAACTTTTCAATAAAGTTAAATAAAATAATAATAAAAAAACTGTTACAAGGTTCGTTCGGCTACATATTAACACGACTTAAAGGAATATTCTTCAATGGGCCTTCTTAATCGGAGACTAAATTTATTTGTTTGTAAAATGGGTACCCAACTTTAAATTTTTTAATACAATGACTTATTTTTAAGCCATCACAAGCCTTTTTTATATATTATTCAAGTTGTATATTTCAAATTAATTCTAAAGATTCTAAAAAACAATCAGAAGACTTGAAAAATTCCCAGTTTGAATATATTTTGGCGCGCATTTGATTTTACCGTTGCAAACTTGAAAAGTAACGGTCTAAAAGTTATTCGAATGTCCTGCTACCCTGCTTAATAAGCAACTCTCTTCATATTTCCTTTATTAGCAGACATTAGAAACCAATCATCGTTAAATAAAAAAGATTAAAAGGATGAAACCATTTTAAATCTGAAAAAACCTCAATTTTCAGTGTGACCAGAGTAAAGGCATTGCCATCCACAAAACAAATTCGAACCAGATCCAAACCAGAATCGACAGCCTTAGTTTCAATCAATGTTCCACCTCTAGTGCCTGGCAAACTAAAATGTTTTGTGTTTTGTTAGTTTTTGGTGTAATAGTGAATTGCGTGAATTTATCGAGTGGTGAGTGGCCGTTTCAATCAAGTTATTTGATGGGAAAGACGAGAAAAAAGGAGTAGTGCCTTCAAAGGGGGCTACGCTTGTGTATTTGGGAGCGTTTGGTACAAGTGCATGTGACTGTGTGTGGGTGTGTGTGTATGCGGTTTGTTTTGTTATTCGATGCGCAAAATGGCATAATATAATTAAATTAACAATTTGTGAGGGCAAATGCTGTAACCGGGGCCCTTGAATAACGCTCCACCAAAGGCTGATAAAAGTCACTAATTGGATTCCGCGCGAAAGAAAAATGTCATGGCCGCCAGTTTTCCAAGAAATGTTAAGGACACTACTGGCTTCGCAAGATGGTTAAAAATAAAGATTCATTATTAGTTTCTTTATATAATAGTTTGAGTTTATCAGTAACTGCCGTATAAGCATTTGTTAATAAATATAGAAATTATTTCAGAGTGTCCTGTACACCTCCATAGCAGCAACAGGCTTCTCCTTGGCTTCTAATTGGAAATAAGCCTTCTCAGAATAGGCCTAATTATAACCCTATAATACCTTCATATAATTCCTTATAGCGACTATAAAATGCATGTTTTGTAATTTTATCTGGAACTACATATATTGGTACCTGTGAGTTTGATTTGGTTCTATAATGGTTTTAAACTCACAGGCGCGCCAAAAAAGGGGTTTCTTAAATCTTCAAGGTTAGCTATTTCAAAGATAACCAAATATTTAACCAATTATTATGGCTTATTTTTAATGACTTTTTAAATGTTAATTTTTTATCCTTTTAATCCTCTTCTTAATTATATTTTTAATACGCTACTGATATAAAGTTGTTTACATTGAAAACAAGTTGTTAACAGTGCTGTTATTACTAGTGCATCTCTGTTATTTAACAGAAACTGAAAACTTAAAAAACGTAGCATACCTTTCTGCTGATCACGCAACTTTACATGTAAAATGTTAAAATAACATTTTACTCCCTTGGCTGCAATGTTACCTTAACATTCTGTTTAGTTCGCAAAACGATTCCATTTTCAAAAGTGAGATCCTCCAGCTGAGTGGCTGGCAGCAGCTTGAAGTTTCTTAGGATGGCGGCCAGAAGCACTTTCATCTCGAGGAGGGCGAATTTCTGGCCAATGCAGCTTCTTTTCCCGGCACTGAAAGGCACAAACGCGAACCTATGACGATTCCCAGAGTTTTCTTTTAAAAACCGATCTGGTTGAAATAGTAGGGGATCTGGAAAGTGGCGCGGATCCCTCATAATGTCATAGAGGTGCAGGTTGATCTGGGTGTTCGTGGGCATGACTAACCCGTTCACCACACACTCTTCCATCACTTTTCGTCCGATAACGGGAGCCGAGGGAAACAGCCTTAGGGTTTCTTTGATGACACAATCCAGGTAGGATAGTTCGTTGAATTGGAGCATGGTGCTCCCATCGAGGTCCTTGGGAAGGTTCTGCACCTCCTCGAAGCAGCGCTCTTGGACATCCTCGTGCAAGGCCAGCATCAGCAGGGTGAAGATGATGCCGGTGGAGGTGGTGTCGTATGCAGCGAACATGAAGGTGTTGACCTCGTCGCAGATGCCCTGATGATCGATGTGACCCTCTGCCTTGGCAGCCAACAAAATGTCCAGCATTGCGTACCGTTGTGGCTTTCCAATATCGTCATTTGGGTCCAGCTCCTTACGCTGGAAGATCCTTCTTCTCTTCTCTATTATTTGGCTGGAGAAGTCGTGTGCTATCTTCAGATTGTCAACCTGTTTCCGATAGTCGCCAAAGAGATAAAAATATACTTTGTTGTACAACAGGGGATTGGAAATCCTCTGCAGCATGACCTCCTCTAAGGCATGGATCGACTGGCGGTATTGGACGCCTCCCTCTATATCGTCAAGCTTAACTCCTAGAACGGTTTCTGCAATAGTTTAAGATTTTTAATAGACATACTATAGTCATATAATAACAAAATCGTTTGCATAATTGACCCATCTAACTAGTTCTATAAGAATCTATTAAAACTAAAGCATACTTATAAATGCAATATTTTCTAGGTTTGTGATTACAAGCTTATAAATATATTTATATATTTTTTGTTGCTCCAAGTTACTTATTCAGTGTGAGATTGTATATGATTTCAACACAAAACACTGCCAGTCATGATGATATTTTTATATGAGGATTAAAGTGCACCTATAATGCCTTCTACTGAACTCTCGGAAAGCTTCTAGTCATGATTATTTTGACTTATTTGGTAGCTTTTGACCCTCTACTTACCACACATATTGTTGAATGTAAACTGTGGAATAATCTGATTTAGGACTACTTCTTTTTCGGGATAAAGATGCAGGATATTCACGAGTTTTTTGCTCTCCTTCCTAGAATTTGATATTTATTTCAATATTCTCGTATATAGTTTTTTAAAACCTTACTTAAATATGCTCAAAAAAGACTGCAAAACATTTAAGTGGAAAGCAGGAGTCAAAGTTTTTCGTCTAGAGTGCCACTTCTGGTCTAAATGATGTGGGAAAATTGCTCACTTATTTGAAATCCTTTCTTTTACAAACCCACCTGTGCTTGTTAGTAGTCCTTCGCCCAAGAAAGGCCTCAATAGATCATATATCACGTTTTTTATGATTAACTTTGAACTCTGGAACACTTCTTCAGCGTCCTCGGCCCGGATTATATTGTACATTGGAGTTCCAAAGAAGTACCAGAGATAATTCCGACCCTTGGCTTGGGAAGCAGCATCTCTCATGAACTTAAAGACAGAAGCTTACAGAAGTTCGATTTTTTAGTAATTTTTAAGTGCAGTTTTAAGTGTCTTTACCAGGTTTAAGCTCCAAGAGATCAAAATTATTGCCAAATGGAGTTTTGGTGGGAGCTATGTAGATCTGTCTCTCTAGAGGACTGCCATCCAAGGTACTAACTCGATTGCACAGGCATAGAATAAAGTATTTCTTGTTCAAGTGACTCCAAAGTTTGCCAAAAACTAAAAGTAGTACTAGAAAACTGACCAGGAGCACCTCCAGAATCATTTCAGTGACAAGTTATTAGAAGGTCTGTTCTGCTTGGGTTTAAATCTTTTAATAACTGAGATGAATAAAAACTCCCTAAAGGTTATATATTTTTGTATAATTTATGCAGAATAGGCCTGTAGATTCTAGTTCATTTATTCATTCCAGTTAATCTATGAAATAAATCAATTAATAATCTGGGAATCACCTTAAAAAAGATATGTCAGTTACTGAATAGTTACACATATACACATTTATTTTAGAAAAAATAAACAATATTTTATTAATTTGTACAACTTTGGCAAGAAGATTTAAAGATACATAGTTATCTTTCAATGACTAGCTTCCCTTTTCAATAATTTCACCTTGATGGTCTCCTGGGTTCGCAAAACGATTCCATTTTCAAACGTGAGATCCTCCAGCTGAGTGGCTGGCAGCAGCTTGAAGTTCCTGAGGACGGCAGCCAGGAGCACCTTCATTTCCAGGATGGCAAACTTCTGGCCGATGCAGTTCCTCTGTCCTGCGCTGAAAGGCACGAAGGCAAAGGGATGTCGGTTCACCGTGTTCTCGGGAAGGAATCTCTCCGGCTGGTACTGATTCGGTTTGGGAAAGTGGCGCGGGTCCCTCATGATGTCGTATATGTGGAGATTGATCTGCGTGTCCTTCGGCATCACCATGCCATTGACCACACACTCCTCCACGCATTGGCGGCCAATGAAGGGCACGGAGGGAAACATCCTCAGGGACTCCTTGATGGCACACTCCAAGTAGACCAGTTCGTTGTATTGGAACACTGTGGTCTCATCGCTGTCCTCGGGAAGATTCAGGACCTCCTCGTAGCAGCGCGTCTGCGCGTCCTCGTGGAGGGCCAGCATCAGCAGGGTGAAGATGAGGCAGGTGGAGGTGGTGTCGTATCCCTCGAACATGAAGGTGTTGACCTCGTCGCAGATGCCCTCGTGGTCTATCTGGCCCTCAGCCTCGGCGGCCAGCAAAGTGTCCAGCATGGCATATCGCTGCTTCTTCCCGAACTCGTCCACATGGCCCAGTTGTTTTTGCTTGAAGAGCTCTCGCTTGCGCTGGATTATCCCGGATGCAAAGTTGTGGACTATTCGCAGGTTATGCTCTTGCTTCCGGTAGTCTCCGTTCAGGAAGAAGTACCAGTTGTAGTACATGAGAGGATTGCAAACGCGTTGGATTAGGATTTCCTCAATGGCGTGAATGGCTTTGCGGTATCCATTGCCCTCTGACATGTCGTCCAGCTTGACTCCCAGGGCGGTTTCTTTTAGGAAAAGTGAAGTTGGATTAAAAGTCCTTAAAGGCTTAGGACAATCTTACCACAGATATTGTTTAAAGTAAACTGGGGAATGACTTGGTTGAGATCTAGTTCGCCTTCTTCATTTTCATACAAAACTTTGATGAATTTATTGCACTCCTCCCTGGTAAAAACAGTTATAGTTTAATTATAAAATATATATAGAATATACTCACTTGAAAATAGCCAAAAAAGACTGCAGGACATTGAAGTGGAAAGCCGGTGTCAAGGCCTTTCGCCGGGAATGCCATTTCTGGTCTAAAGATATCAGCCCGACTAGGATTAGATCACAAATATAATATAGTGACTCACCTGTGCTAATCAGAAGACCGTCCCCCAGGAACGGTCTAATCAGCTCGTAAACCACATTCTTGGTAATCAGCTTGGTGCTCTGGAATATCTCCTCAGCCTCCTCGGCGCGAACCACATTGTACATGGGTGCGAATAGGAAATACCACAGATAATTCCTGCCCTTGGCCTTGGCCGTGGATTCCCGCACAAAATTAAAAACGCTGGCTGTGAGGAAAATTCGTGAATTCCAAATCTATGAAGAATCTAAAAAAAAGCGATTACCCACCAGGTGTAAAGTTGAGAATGTCCAGATTGTTGCCGAAAATGGTCTTGCCGGGCATTACAGCCACTTTGCTGTCCAGGGGACTGCCATCCTCGGTGCGCACTCTTCTGGTGAGGGAGAGGATGAAGTAGGATTCGTTTAGTTTCTTGAGAAGCAGCCAGAGGACTACTAGGAGAATGGGTGTTCCCAGCAAGGCGATCCACATTTTCGCGCACTCCCTCCAAAGCGAACCGTTCTACAGCGGATTTTGTAGTTCACTGGGCTGCCATATAGCTTTCGGATCAAGTCGCATGCCGATAATCACAATCAACAATTGTATATACTACGTATAGTACTAACAAATGATGGCACAGCTTTTCGTTATCAGCATGCTGTATGGTTGATTGAGTTCCAATTATATTCGGCTCAATTACGAACTTTTAGTTTGTTTTGGTATTTCTATAGGATTAGGTGCACAGACAGTGATAGGGTATCAAATATTCCATCATATTCACCTATTTGTGGGCTTGATTAATCTACTCAGCCCTAAAGCCGATTATAAATGCACCAAAGGTCAGTAAGTCCGGTGTTATGCACTCTGATTTGCTTACAATTAAGCAGAGCCAAGTCTAACAAACGTAATAAAGTAGAGCTTTTCTGCCAGAAAGTATCATTCCATTGGCCTTCTTTTGGTTTATTATCAGTAATTGATTGGCGAGTGGTTAGAGAAGCATTTGAGGCAGTGCAACGATCTTATAATTTGTCCCCATATGGCCATACCAGATTAATAGCCATTTCTTGGCACTACACAGATTTCCTCTCCCAGGCATATTTTCCCATCGTTCCGACTATGGAACTGGCTACCTTAGCTAGCTAGCCTGGCTATAAAAAAAGGAAACTAGCAATGTCGCATCAAAATGCCGCATTGATTAAAGTTTGATTAGCTGCAGCTTGGCCAGATCGCATTTGGGCTTGAAGAATTAATTTGAGCCACAGAAATGGCAATGCCGAGGCAGTGGCAGCAGCACTGGCCGCCAGTTGCAATAGAAGTAAATGTGGAGAAAAAAAAAATTAAATCACCGTAATTACATTTTCTGTGGAAAAGACCGGAGAGCTGGAGGAGACGAACGCGCAAGCATGTTGCACGACCAGTGCGTGGACGTGGATGTCGCCGGCAATGACAAAAATAGTCAATGCAACAGTGGCAGCAACAGAAGCAGCAACTCCAGCAGCAGCAATCACAACTGCATTTGGGCATGAAAAGTGCAATGCCGGCAATTGGAAAAACTTGCCCTGGAAAGGATGGCCTGTCTCTCTGGTTGTTGCTTCTTGTTATGAACAAATGTTATTGCAGCAGGAACAGAAGCAGCATCGACATCGACCCAGCAGCAGCAACCACACACTCTCATTAAAATGCAAAAGACGTCGCTTGCCGCTTTTTAGAATTACTAATTGAATCGACGCGATCAGTGGCAATTGCAGCAACCAGAAACCAACAATGAACAACAACAGTTGTGGTGGCGGCACGAATGTTTGTTGTTTCAACTGTTGCCAGTTTGCCAGTTGCCTGTTGGCTGTTGCCACTGCCACTGTTGAATGTTTGCTGATGTTGATGTTGATGTTGCTACTGCAGCTTCCGCTGCGGTGTGAATATACAAACATATACTGGCTATTTATTTATTTATGTACGTGATTCTCGGTGCGGTTTGCGATTCTTTTAGGGCGATTCCCGGGGAAAGCTCCCAACTGGGTTTTGAGGCAAAGCAGAGCTACTACACACATGCACATCCGCAATCCGCAATCCGCTGCGAGGAATTGCTGAAATAACAAATATTATTTCACCTTAAGGTGGGGGCTTTCTTTAGGGATTACTTTTTAAAAAACCAACTATCCTGCCACATTCCACACAAAACCCACTACACTACTTTTCCATCATTTTCTGGCATCTCTTCGAGAAACATATTCATGTTGCAAGTATTGACCTTCCTGGCTAAGCACAAACCCATGTTGCAACACGATTTTTCAATTATTGCGGCGGCTTGTAAAATTTGTTGTAAGAGCTTGCATATTTACTTTAACACCTCCTTCCCGGAGGTGTCGCTTAGTTTTCGGTTGTGTGGGGCATTGCTGCGTGTGTTGCTGCTGACAGACGATGGCGGCGATGGCGACGAAAAAAATAAGTTAACAAGAACAGGCGACGCTTGTTAGCCATGTTGCCTGCCTCTCCTGACACTTGTTGCACGGCATTCTGCCCCAGCAACCTTTTGCGGTCGCCAAAGACCCCAGCCAGATCTCCAGTTGCTGTGGTGGAGGCACTTGGAGAAACGTTGTTCCATCCTGCCTCTAACTGAAGAGAACATGACTTTATTTTTGGGTAGAATTTTGGCCAAGTGTTGCGATGCCTCGTTTGGGGTTGTCGTTGGCGTGTGTCTCTCGCTCCACTAAACTTTTAATTAAAATTTTGTCGTATCACAGTGGCTGCTGCTTCCTTTTGTGGCTTGTTAATGTCACCACCTCGGGAGTGGGAGAAGGGTAACGCTGCTGATTTTTATGCAAATTTCAGAGCAGTCTCGTTTTTCGGTCACCCGCCGCCAGCCAACTTGCGAGGCTTCCAGATCGGCTCGGATCGGGTTCCCAGGCCCCATCCAGCCAGTTGCGTTCGTCATTAACTTGTCATGACCATAATCACGGTATAGACCAACTTGGCATCCATCCTCTCCCAATATAGGAGCTGCTCGTTGGCCATCAATAAGGCAATTGACATTTCCCAGCCGAAGGAAACGTTTATTGATAAGCGAATTGGAGAACGCTTATTATTTTGGCGTGGGACAGGTACATGGAGATATATAGACTCCCGTTTGGATGTTGCATGATCTGGAGTGTGGCAATTGGCCAAGATTTATTGACATAATGAAGACTAATTCGCGCGTCTGTGGCCGAGCATTTTGACAATTATTTATGTTGTATTAAGTTGTTTGGCGGCAGCGCGTGTAACGATGTAATTAATTGCCATGGATTAGACACTGCCGATGGCTAAAAGAGAAAAACAGAGACCGACTTGGTCACGCAGCCCCACTCTGGCTCGGAGATGCAAAGATGCGGAGGCTCCGAGAAACCGGGGCACCAAACCAAACTCCAAGTCGGCCTCACAGACTCGGCAGGAAAGCGGCTTAGATCCATAAACAACCGAGTTTATGGGAAGCCATTTGCGACGATCCGAAATGGAAGTGGAATGGATGGAAGCACTTCAATTGGTCATTCGTTTTTGATGCGATTTTCAAGCGATTTAAATACGAATATCAACTGTATAAGCTACGATTATACCCTTAGTCTATAGGTCATTCGTGTTTGGAGATTTCACAAAAATATATTGGAAATTGAAAGCGGGAACAGCGTAGTTTATGGGCCTTGTGGCGTCCCTACCCTTAACTTATCAGAAAAGAGCCACGCTCTTAACATTTTATGGCCAACTTTATAGAACTGATAAGTATATGGGCCTCTTTTTATAAAATTAGATCTTCGACTTTGCCTGCTCAGATACTAGAGAACTAGAACTTTAACCGAAAAATATTCATATTCTTCGAATTTCGAGCTACATTTATTTTAGGTATTACTCTGAATTTGAATTTAATTAAATTTTAGCTTCCCGAACTAATTAAAAAACAAATTTCGTTTTTAACAACCGCTTCGAATGGCTGTGGGCCATAAAGTGTACACAGACTTCGTTGGATTCGCCAAATTGAGTTTTTTTTTCGCTTTCACGGGACGAGATTTAATTTTTGGCCAACGTATTTGTGTATTATTTTTTATAGAGCAGCTACCATTATAATGTTTATGGGTCTAAGCTCATCAAAGTTTAAGCAGGCACTTTATAGGCAGCTTGTATATTATTTTCCACCCATTGTTTGTCCGGCTTTTGGCCGCAAAGACAATGCCGAGTGTTGACAGCTGGCCAAGAGCACCTCTTAGAGGGAGGGGGGATTCCTAGAGCAGGCTAGTTAATTTGCTTTAACTAGAAAACCGCATGCAAATCGTAAAGCCGAAGGGAAGCTGCGAGCGGTGCGAGTTCAAAGCGACATTGCCGCGCCAAAAACGCGCGCGACTCGCGTTCGCTAATTGAGTGCGACAGGGCGGTGTTGTGTGGTTGTGGCCCTTCTCCTTGCAGAAAATAAATAAAATTTATTACGTATGCCGGCCATGGAGGACAATGCCGCTAACCCACTCCTGCCTCCTTATATTTATTGCTTCCACGAACCGAGCGCGTTGCTTCCAAGAAATGTCCGCAGCTCAGGCCATCTCGCCGAGAAGGTGGCTATCTGTCTGGGCCCGCTGTGGTCGCTGGCTTAACAAGTCGACACTTTTCTTCACACCTCTCGGCTTAGTTGGCCAAGAATTTACTTGGCCATATTAAGCTTAATGGCCGCCCGTTGCGTTGCGATTGGACCGGTGGCAGTTTCCTGGCTCGTTTTGGCCGGCAATGCGGTTATTAAATGCAAAAATTAAGATAAGCCCTTCGAGGCAAGGGTTCTCAAACAGGTTCTACACGCAGCGAAAATTGTTGACAAAATTGCCCATAAATGCCATAAATTGTGGCCTTTAAATTGCCTCTCTAATCGCAATGATAATGCCATGATTAATCGGTTTGGTATGTAAAATATGCAGACTTTTAATTATCATACATTCAAAAATTAATATATTAGCTTTCATATATATGAATTTTTCTAGGTGCGCAGAGTTAACGATGCTTTTCGAATTAGCCAGTGCCCTAGGCCATGCAATGTCACGGCTAATTAGCCATAGAACTATTGGGGCCAGACCTGCGGGAGTCGGGCTTATGTTTTCCGCCATTCCGAACACGTGGATATAAATCGCCCTACTTTATGGAACGGTTCAGGGCTGGGCGCTCCTTTGGCAGCTGTGACTGTGACGGCTTTCACATAGAGTGAACTTTTTTATAAGGCCAGCGATCATAAAAATACAAAATTTATATGCACTTAATTGCGGTCTCCTTTCGCATCGACCAAAGCCCAATAACGTTGTCCCTGCTTATGGATGCAGTGGATCAACTGGGTATTGCTGAGACAAACAATGAGGAAAACTTTCAATAAGAACTATAAAGTAGAGTCTTTATAAGAGGGTATTCTGACTACAGTTGAGGTAGAGTCTAGTCATTTAATCAGGCATCTGTTGACTTGATTTTAGCATTCATCAGGCCTTACATCATGGCCTCTATCGTCCCATAAAAGTTGGAATCATGCCAGAGTGCGTTCAGCACTGCCTTAATTAAAAA